TAATATATATATATATATATATATATTATATATATATATATATATATATATATATAAACATTGTATGTATATAAGTTTTAGGTATATATAATTTTCAACACTACTTCTTGAATAAACAATGGTACTTTGATTGATTTGTTACCATATAGCAAGGATAGAGTATGTGTTTGATCTTCACCATGTTTAGTCTTAGCCAGCAGTTCTCTCAGATTAATTCTTTCATTTCATTGAAAAGTAAATTTTGAGAAGGGTAGTGTAGCACCTTATAGAACAGTTTTTTGTTAAAACTAATGTAGCCATCAACTCTTAATTTTAGTTCCTATGATGTCGTAACTTTCATTAGACATTTTGAAATAGTTATGCCAGGTCATTTACATTCTGTTTTCTTGAACTGCCCATTATAGTTTTCTTTCATCCAAGATTTATGTTACTGTTTTCTAAATACTTACCTCGATAACTGAAACATTACCAAATAACACATCCAAGTTCTAAGTTGTTTTCTTCAAACACTTCCTTTACAAAATAACAACATAAAGCACACATATGGCCTTAAACTGTACAAGACAGTGCTATTTATTTATTCATGGTAAATCCTATGTAGAATGTACTTCAAAGCTAGTCATACAAGTATTGGTAATTCGTAACATAATTTCCAAAATGCATTGTGGTTTCTTATTTAAACAGAAATATACAGAAAACATGGTTGTATAAACTTTGAAAAATATTTTTGGGGATAGATCAGTAGAACGCGTAAGAGAAAGCAAGATTTGACTGAAGATTACTGGGTTCGTTGCTTAAATTGTGCACACAGTATGGTAGAAAGCATTGTAGTAGTAAGTGAAGTTAGAAGTATATTTTAATAACCTATTTTGTAAGTAGCAAAAGCATTATGTTTAGTACTGTTACTTTAAGGTATTGTACATGAAGCTATGACCCAAACAAATACATTTAATCTACTGCACACTTCATATCCTTACCTTCTTGTAATAAACATCAAATTCTGTTGTTAGTATGACTTCTATAAAGTTATTATGATAAAATTTTAAGGATAGTGGGCTAAAAAAGACTAGTATCGGTTGATTTTACAGTATAATACGCTATCAAAGAACAAAATTTAAAATGTTCCCAATGTATATTTATCTCTGAATAGATATACATTGTTGTATTTCATTATATAAAAATGCCATCAAAAACTATTAACAGCTTTACTTAACATTTTCTACTGTTAATAATACTTCATAAGTAACTGACAAATATTGCAGTTCAAATAGTTTTTTTATTTAGATATATGAAAGTCAAACAGCATTATTATTACTCGTAAAGTGTCATAATTAGGGATGATATGGTGTGCCTTACTAAAGATAGTGCTATGTTTCATCTTTGTGCACATATCAAGCTCAATAGATTTTTATGGATTGACATCTAATTCAGAAGAGCTTAAGAAAGAAAATTTAATATGATACAGATGTAGAACTGTTCAAATATAAGAATTCAGACCTCTACTATTACAAAGTCTTGTGAATAATAGTTATGATTATAAATTAGATTTATTTTAACCATATGAATTCAATTTCTTTAGAAGTTAGAGGTGGGTACAGTACTGAGAAAAGGTTTTATTTGAGGCATTCAGGGAAATGTTGAGATACTACCTATCAGTTTCATGTGGTCTTATCATTGCATAGGTGTTGGGTGCTGGAGAATGGGAGCATTAAAAATAAGTGTTCACTTGTTTCAGTAAGCTTAACTTTGGGATTATAATATTATGCTGTTTAGCATTGAAAGTTTAAAATTTTTACAGATTTTGTGATAGCAAACAGTCTGGGTCTGAAGTTATTCTTTGTATGTAATATTTTTTTTTGATATAGAATTTTATTAAAATGGCTTTTTTTTGTTACAATAATAATAATATGCTGTATTTTATACTAGAATGTTACACAAACAATACTAGAATGCAATTCAGTACTAATACAATTAAGAATAGTGTATTTCATAAAGAGACTTCATATAAAGTTCTTGAACAACTTCTGCCTATGGTCCCGTAAAATCTATATGCATTCCTGGTCAGCTGGTGAAATAATTAGAAGCTACAGCATGCTGTGGAATGAGCTTAATCTGTTTCCAAATACATACAACTATAATTTAGAAACCATTAATGGTCAGAGCTAACTGTAAAACATCTTACTTTGGAATCAGAGTTTTCAGGTAAGCGTGTAAACAAAAGTTACACCAGTCAAGCTTTCTCGACTGCAGTCGTGTAATGTTGTATTTCATGACCTAGTTGTACCAATCGGCTCTCAAGTAGTTATTAACTAGAGAACTCTGTCATGGAATGATATTTCATCTGCTATGAAGATCAATAAAACAGAAATGGTAAGAAAACATATCTGATAGATGTAGCTAGGTGGATAAATATCTTCAAAGTTATGAAAAGAAGTACTTGCAACAAAAAACTGTTTAGTTGAGAGCTTGAATGTCAGCCAGCCTAGTGCTCAACTGGTCATAAAATGATTTTATTGAGATATTTATTGCAAAAGTGTGTTTTAGTTTTTACAGCTTAGAATATCAGTGTTAGAATGGTCAAAAGTACTGTGCTTGCATTTATGTAACAAAAATTATAAATCACAAATATTAAAATATGTGATGAAATAACGTTTATTTTTGCCTACTTTCAAAATTTTAGTACAGGCTTTTACACTTAGTTACAAGATCTATGAACAGAATTAATCCTGCCATTTAATTTTTCATAGGCTAAGCCCAAGGCTTGTCTATTTTTCTTACCTGGATGACTTGCTGTATAACTTAAGCTGTTTTTAATTATTATTTTGTTTGTTTGTTCCTGAATGGAATAGACATATTTATTAAGAATATTTTAGTGCCATAACCGGGTTTGTGGTTTGATATTTTGCTTGTTTGTCCCTGAGTTTATGACACTAAAATTATTCTTAATAAATAGGTCTATTCCTCAAACCACAAACCCTGGTTAATAAATAGGTCTATTCCACTCAGGGACAAACAAGCAAAATATTATGGCACTAAAATCAAACCACAAACCCTGGGTCAGTTACATTCACCATCTACTGCAACTAGGGCTGTGCTAAACTAGTGGAATCCAGGTTGGCTTTAGTCATTGATCTGAGGTCATAGCAGTTTGCTTGAATTTAAACAAATAAATCCATCATTTTAGCCAATAAATGTTAATTTTGTTATAAACAAAGTTTGAGGTATTAGCAAGAAAATGTGACTTCATCTTTCTGTAAGTGCTGTTTCTCATAAAATGAAAGCTACTAGGAACGGAAGAGTAAATCCACAACAGAAGTTACATGCTGGCTTCACTCTGGAACAAATGAACTGCAGCATTGTGGACAAATCATTCAATGCTTGGCTACATTAAACCCAGAAATAATGGATTACATGAACGCATATGGGGAGTGAAGTCACTGTTCTTTCAGTGTCATGAGTGATATTTTGTTGTACTCTGTAAACTTAGTTTCATGCACTGTTACGAGTAGCTGAAGTTACGGAACCTATGCACTAAATACATTCGGTTTCTGTCAACAAACCAAGCTGTCCTTATTTCTGTAAGTATGAATGATCGGCACTTATGTGTTGTCTAAAATTTAATAAATAATTAAAACCAGTGTTTCATATTTACACAATTTGAAAAACTTAATTGAAACCGTCAACGGCTTCCACTTTAAAAATACGCTTTACATGTACAGGAGTTATCTGCAAGACATGCTAATTTTTTCCTTCTTGTCAAGAGATGTTACACTGCTTCATAATTCCTTAGTCAACTTTTATATTCATCGCGCCAAATATCAGTGCTTTGACTTGATAGCCCTTCGTCTCTCTTTAAATTGGAAATGTTTCATAAGGCAAGGTGTCAGCACTTGCATTTGGTTAATAGAATACTTTTCCTTGATTCAAAAGAAAAATGGCCAGGTGGTTAGGGAGCTCGACTCTCAATCTGCGGGTTCAAAATCTCCGTCCCACCAAACATGCTCGCCCTTTCAACCGTGGGGGACGTTATAATGTGACGGTCAATC